CCCTGCCCACCCCATTCCCTCCCCACTACATACTCCCCAGTATTTACTCTCCAATACCCACACCACAGTCCCTACACACACACACACATACAGACACACACACACACACACACACACACACACACACATACACACACACACACACACACACACACACACATACACACACACATACACACACATATATATGTATATATAGAGAGAGATAGAGAGAGAGAGAGAGAGAGAGAGAGAGAGAGAGAGAGAGAGAGAGAGAGAACAAGCATTAATGGGTCACTTAAATATTTTCTCGCACGTTATATTCTCCCTAAGGGAGAATATAAGAGAGGGAGGGAGAGAAAGGAAAATTGGATAAGGAGAGAAAGAAAGGTGGAAAGGAATATGAAAATTTAAGAAGATGGATAAAGAGAGGAGAAAAAGGGAAATGGGGTGTAGAATGATAATGAAGATAATGATAATTGTTAGTGTTAATATCATATTATCAAAAGGATGATCATAATAATAATAATAGTAATAAGAATAATAACGATAATAATTATAGTAATAATTATAATAATAATAATAATGATAACAATAATAATAATAAGAAGAAGAATGATAATCATAATAATAATAATAATAATATTAATAATAACAATAATAGTAATAACGGTGATTGATTATAATAATAATCTTTATAACAATGTGAATAAAGATTTTTTTTTTCTTCTTTTTATACTTATGTATAACTGATTATTTTCCCGCCGTATTATGAAGATGGGCATTAGAAAATTAATGGTGAACCGAAATGTATTCTCCTAAAAGACTTCTTCCTAATTAGGCAAGCAGTTTCATACGTTCATTAATTTGTACACACGCACAAAAGCGTTTCTGTGTGGGCGGGGATGGTGGTGGGGTGGTGGTGGTGGTGTCGGGGGGGGGGGGGGGGGGGTCGTGCCAGTGGATGTGCATATGTGTGTGTGTGTGTATGTGTGTGTCAGTAATTAAACCTTGTTATAACAGTGAATTTTACAGCCTTCATTACAGTTATGTTCCTTGTCGTTCACCATGCACTGGGTCTGAGGAGATTCTCTTTTTGTTTGGATGAAAACGTGTTTCAATACAACGGATGTGTGTGTGTATATGCACACACACACACACACACTCACACACACACATAAACATATATATATATATATATATATATATATATATATATATATATATATATATATATATGTATATATGTATATATATACAAACGGACAAACGGATAAAAGCGAGTGCATGTTCATCCCCATAGCTACTAAAAAGGTTAGCCGAGACATTCCCCAGACACCTCTCGTGGAAATACCAGACGTGCGGCGGTAATTGTATCACACCAGGCAAAGAGAATCCCGTCTTTTCATCCATCCCTCGCCCCCCCTCTCTCCCCTTCCTCGCCCCTCCCTCTCTCCCCTCCCTCGCCCCCCCTCTCTCCCCTTCCTCGCCCCTCCCTCTCTCCCCTCCCTCGCCCCCCCTCTCTCCCCTTCCTCGCCACTCCCTCTCTCCCCTTCCTCGCCCCTCCCTCTCTCCCCTTCCTCGCCCCTCCCTCTCTCCCCTTCCTCGCCCCTCCCTCACTCCGCCCTCTCTCTCCCCACCTTCACCCCCCGCCCTCTCTCTCCTCTCCCTCACCCCCCGCCCTCTCCTTCCCCTCCCTCACCTCACCCTCTCTCTCCTCACCTTCACCCCCCACCCTCTCTCTCCTCTCCCTCACCCCGCCCACTCCACTGCCCCCCCCCCCTCCCCCTGCCTACCCTCGGGCAATGGAAGCAGTGACGGCGACCGAAAAATTCTTCTGCTGATAAAGGCAAAGATCCGTTGTGGTTGTATATATGCAAAGGGCGTCTGTTTTTATTCGTATGTCGGGAAATGGAGAAATGCGTCTATGCTAATCTGCGTGGGATTCGAAACGTGTTCCGAATTCATTTCCGAAGCATAATCTGGAAATGAATCGCGAAGCTTTGATTAATACCTGTGACGTTTTGATTAGATTTGGAAACCTGCCGATGTTTTCAGTCCCTCTTTCTTGTTTGTTTGCATCGCTTTGTGTGTGTGCGTTTACGTGTGTGTGTGTGTGTGGGTATGTGTGTTTGAAACATGTTAGTATATCTGTATTTCTATATAATACTGCAAATAGTCTATCTGTCATTCTTATCTATCTCTCTGTCCATATATCTATATATATCTGTCCACATATCTATATCATGGGATGAAGAGAAGGGATGATTTCCAAATAAAATATAGAATCATCTCAAAGAAGACCTACACTGATACCAGGTAACTTCACCTTTTTATTGCAGGAGCGAGACTGGCAACACTGCAGCGGTAAATGTGTCGTTATAACGAGGTTTATTCATTTACTCGCGAGATACGACAAAAGGTAATCAGTGACCGAGCCTTTTTCTTTTAAACTCCGAGATATCGAGACTGCTTCGCCGGCGGGCTTCGTTCCGTGCGTCGAGAATAAAGAGGAGAGGAGAGAAAGATAAAAAAGTAATAATGATAATAATAAATAAAAGGACGAAGAAAAGAAAATTTGAGCTTTCATGTTTGTGGAGAAATTTTTCAAGTGTGATTACAAAGGCTTTGTTACGAAGCTTTAATTAGAGGGAAATGAAAAGTCTAACGGAGATCGATATCACGTTCATGGCATTATTTATATATAATATATATATGTATATATATATGTGTGTGTGTGTGTGTGTTTGTGTGTGTGTGTGTGTGTACATAAATGAACGTGTATATATATACATATATATGTACATAAATGAATATATATACATACATATATACATGTAAATGGATATATGTACATACACACACACACACACATATGTATATGTATATATATATAAAGACACACACACACACACACACACACGCACGCACACACAAACTCTTCTCTCATCCCCCTTTTCCTATCACTCGCTCCGTTTTCCCCTCTCCCTCTTTTACCCTTCCCCCTTCAGTTCCTCCTTCCTTTCCTTTTCCCTCTTCTAGGAAAACTAGTTTATACACCGGCCATAAAAAGTGCCATAATCCAGCATCAACGGAACTTCCAGGAAACACTCACATCCCGCGTTACGTTCAGAGATCCTAAGACTTCCGGTGAACATTTCTTCAAGAACGCCTTCGAGCTATCTTCGAGATGGCGTTTGCTTTTGAGTTTCGTATATACGTTTATCTCTTTCTCTTTCTCTCTCTCTTTCTCTTTCTCTCTGTCTGTCTGTCTCTGTCTCTCTCTCTCTCTCTCTCTCTCTCTCTCTCTCTCTCTCTCTCTCTCTCTCTCTTTCTCTCTCTCTCTCTTTCTCTCTCTCTCTCTCTCTCTCCTTTCTCTCTCTCTCTCTCTCTCTCTATATATATATATATAGAGATAGATAGATATATAGATAGATAGATAGATAGATAGCTAAATAGTTAGATATATATATATATATATATATATATATATATATATATATATATATTATATATATATATATATTCACACATATATATATATACATATATATATATATATATATATATATATATATATATATATATATATATATATATATATATATTCACATATATATATATATATATATATATATATATATATATATAGAGAGAGAGAGAGAGAGAGAGAGAGAGAGAGAGAGAGAGAGATACACATATTTATGTGCGTATGTATATGTATATGTATATATATGTATGTATATATATATATATATATATATATATATATATATATATATATATATATATACATACACACACATACAAACACACACACACATACACACACACACACACACACACACACACAGATATACATACATACATATATTCATATACGTATATATATGCATATAGACATATATATAAATGTGTGTGTGTATGTGTGTGTGTGTGTGTGTGTGTGTGTGTGTGTGTGTGTGTGTGTGTGTGTAATTAAATTCCCTCTTTACAAGACTAAAATCTCCGATAATCCAACACACACGTTACCTCGACAAGATTCAAGCGGGGGGGGGGGATGTAATCCGAGATACTCATTACCCAGATTGGAGACTCGAGTAATGCGGAGAAATATATATTGTCTTAGCAGGAATCCGGGTGATGTAGGTAATATGTAATATGTTGTTAAAGAGCTGAAACAGAATTCTACTACAAGACCTGACTCGAACAGTGAATGCACCTCCGACCAAACACACTTCCTGGTTAGGTAGAATAGTTAGGAAACAGGATACAGCAGGATACAGCATCTGTACGAAAGGGTTAGGGTACGTTGTATGGGTAAAGGAGGAAGGTTCAGGAAGAATATCATATGTCATATACTACTTTTGAAGACTTAAGTACGGATATCTGTTTCTAAGCTAAGGGAAGAGCGAAGAGAGCATTACATTTAATACGACACACAAGCTAACAAGAAATGTAAAAGTCTGTATCACGCCGTTACAACACTCTACATGTTGAACTAGATGGGATGATTAGCAGAGTACACACTAGCTGAGTGAGAAGCAGTATTTGTTCAGGAGGACAAATAACCTGAGCTGTCCCTAGGCCGGAGGAAGGTACAGTACTTGAGTTGGAAAACATATTAACTTGAAACGGGGATAGGGAGAAAAGGCAGGATTAAGAATGAAAAGCTTTTCAAAATTAACTCATTCTCATTCATACCTTTTTTCCCTATGTTTGTCACAATGGATTCATGTGATTTAGAAAGACGTATATAAAGGAATTTTTAAGACAATGATTAAGCTGTAAGACAAAGCTGCTAGAGTATTAGACATTTTAATTTGAAAAGGTAGAAATAGTAACAAAATAAGAAGACACAGCTCTTACACAAAGAGAATCCAACATCTATTTAAAGCAGTAGAAGCAGTACCCTAGTCAAGAGGAAACAGTACCTGCACGGGACGACAACAGTACTCAGGAACGAAGAGGAGACACAGAGAGCACCTGACGAAGAGGAAGGGAACAGAAGGACACAGTACCTGGATAGGGCTCGGGAGCGCCTGGGAAATACTCCTGGTTCCTCTTGGCTGGGACTTCGAGGATGTCCCACTCCACAGACATGTAGAACTCCCTCAGGTTGATGCCGATGGGGACGATGTTGCTGCCTTTCACCTGCTCTATGTGTTTCAGGTCGACCTGGAAGGGCAGTAGGGGTCAAGAAAAGGCCGAAGAAAAATGTTTAAAAAGGAAAGAGAGGTGATAACGTAGATAAAAAGGATAAGGAAAAGAAAGGAAACAAATACGAAACTGATCATTGAGTATGGTATCATAAGGACGAGTTTGGTTATGCCCCATTATGTACACAAAAGAGGAATTGACCAAAAGCAGGAACCAAGACCGAAAAACTACAATAACAGAATGTACACACCAATATAGTAAGACCCGGCATTCTTCACCATACGCACTATCAGTCTTTTGGATTAATTTATCACTGTCACTTTTAACTCTCTTCTACACTTCCATTTTCATTTCCCTTTTGAATCTCTCCTTTCATCATTGTGATTGTAGTAAAAGAGCTTTCCGATTTTTTTTGAAAATCTGATTAATTCAAGTGTAGTACCGAGGTAGGGCGGGGAGAGGAGAGGGGGTAGAGGAGAGGAGAGGAGGTGGAGTGGAGGAGGGAGGGAAAGGAGAAGGAAGAGGAGAGGAAAGAGGAGGAGGAGGAGGAGGAGGGCAGAGAGGGGGAAGTAGGAAGAGGAAAGGGAGAGAATGAGAAGGAGGAACATGAGGAAAGGAAGAGAGGAGGAACGAAAAGAAGTAATTCGAGGAAAAGAAACAGGGAGGAAAAGAAAGGAAAAGGAAGGGAGAAGGAAGAGGAAATGGGGGAGAAGAGGAGGAAGGGGAGAGGAAGAGAAAGGGGTAAAAGAGGAAAAGGAGGGGAGAAGGAAGAAAAGAGGGGAAGGGGAGCAGAGGATGAAAAGGAAGAGGAGAAAAGACGGGAAGAAGTCGAGGAGCAGAACAATAAAGATTAAATTAAGGGAAGTAGAGGTGCATAATAACAATAAAGAAAAGAGGAACTGGGATAATAAGAGAAGCGAGGTAAAGGAGAAGAAACTCGTAGCCAGAATAGACGGGGGGATAACAGATGGATGAAAGGAGAGAGCAATAGAGATGAATAGGAGGAAATTGGGAAAGGAAGGAAGGAAGGACGATCGAAATCTAATTAGGACAGTACCTATCCCCAGTAACCCCCCCCCGTCAAGAATCCGAAAGAAATGGGGGGGAAGGAATATGAATCGTCCTTCGGGATTCGAAGTCGATGAAGATTGGGACGGGGGGAGGGAGGGGATTTTTTCCTGTATGGTGCGCACATTTTTTTCTTTCTTTCTTTCTCTCTCTCTCTCTCTCTCTCTCTCTCTCTCTCTCTCTCTCTCTCTCTCTCTCTCTCTCTCTCTCTCTCTCTCTCTCTCTCTCTCTCTCTCTCTCTCTCTCTCTCTCTCTCTCTCTCTCTCTCTCTCTCTCTCTCTCTCTCTCTCTCTCTCTCTCTCTCTCTCTCTCTCTCTCTCTCTCTCTCTCTCTTCTCTCTCTCTCTCTCTCTCTCTCTCTCTCTCTCTCTCTGTGTGTGTGTGTCTGCGTGTGTGTTTCTCGCCGCTCTCTCTCTCTCTCTCTCTCTCTCTCTCTCTCTCTCTCTCTCTCTCTCTCTCTCTCTCTCTCTCTCTCTCTCTCTCTCTCTCTCTCTCTCTTCTGATGAAAAATATCTTAATAACATTCCCATCAATGAGGCTAAATACGAAAGCGCCTTTAATATCACAAAGTAATTACTTCAGTTGCCAAGTGCTACACCCCCCCCTCTTCTCTCTCTCTCTCTCTCTCTCTCTCTCTCTCTCTCTCTCTCTCTCTCTCTCTCTCTCTCTATCTATCTATCTATCTATCTATCTATCTACCTTTTTCTATCTGTATACTCATCTATCTATTTATCTGTCTTTATATATATCCATCTATCTACCTATCTATCTATCTGTCTATCTCCATTTATCTATATATCTTCCTATCTACCTATCTATCTACCTCCTTTTTCTACCTATATCTATTACACACTTCCTCTTTTCTTTCCCTAGTTTTCGTCTTTACTATCTCCCTCTCCCATCTCTATCTCCCCCCCCCCCTTTTTCCTACTCCACACCCTCCCTTCACCCTCTTTTTCCGCTTATCTCTTCTCCATCATTTACTCCTCCATTTACTCCGTCTTTTTTCTACTCCCTCTACCCCCCTACCCCCACTCGCTCCCTCACTTTTTTCTCGAGTTCGTCTAATTCCTTTTCCATTCTACTCTATTTTCTCTCCTCCTTTTAATCTTTTCTTCTTCTTTACATATTGCTTCTCTCCTCCTTCTCCCCTCCGTTCACTCCTTCCATTCGTTCATCTACTCCAGCTTCCCCCCTCCCCCCAACGTTCTCAACTTCACTCCTTCCCTGAACTCCCTCTCTCCTCCCACTCCCCCCCACCCCGCCTCCATTCTCTCCTCACTTCCACCCCCTATTTCATCCAATATTTGCTTCCTACTCATCTCTCCCTCTCCCCTCTCCCCTCCCCCAACCCCCGCCCCCATTCTCTCCTCCTCTCCACTCCCCCAACCCCCCTCCACCCATTCTCTCCTCCTCTCCCCTCCCCCAACCCCCTTCCCCCATTCTCTCCTCCTCTCCACTCCCCCAACCCCCCTCCCCCCCCATTCTCTCCTCCTCTCCACTCCCTATTTCATCCTATATTTGCTTACGCTTGGGACTCCGAAGAGGCGCTGTCAGGTTTAACGCCGGTGTGATGTGTTTACTTAGGAACTCGTTACACGGTGACCCTATTTCCGGTAGAGGGAGTGGGGGAGGGGGGGGGGGGAAGAAGGGGGGGTACAGAAGGGTAAGGGAGGGTGTATGGAAGGGCGAGAGGGGGTAGGGAAGGCTAATAGAAAGGGGTAGGGAAGGGAGGGAGGGTGCAGGGAAAGGAAGAAGGAAGTAGGGGAGAGTAAGGGAATGGGTTGTGGGAGGGGAGGAGAGGAGGGGAGATAAGGGGAAGAGGAAGGGGGGTAGGGGAAGGAGGGATGAGAAGGATGGAGGAGAAGGAGGGTGGTGTAGGAAGAAGGGGGGAGAGGGAGGGAAGTAGATTGAAGGACGGGTAGGGAAGAGGGGGGGAAGAATCGAATAAAGGGGAGAGGGGGGGGGAGTTCAGGGTGGAGACAGGAGGTCAGAAGTTAAGAGGGAGGAACAGGTTCTTCAGGTGACGCGGTGGAGGTATTGGACTATTAATGGTGGGAGAAGAGAGGTGGAGAAGACAGGGGAGAAGAGAGGTGGAGAAGAAGGAGGAGGAGAGAGGTGGAGAAGAAGGAGGAGAAGAGAGGTGGATAAGAAGGAGGAGAAGGGAGGTGGAGTAGAAGGAGGAGAAGAGAGGTGAGAAGAAGGAGGAGAAGAGAGGTGGGAAGAAGGAGGAGAAGAGAGGTGGAGAAGAAGGAGGAGAAGGAGAGGTGGAGAAGAAGGAGGAGAAGGAGAGGTGGAGAAGAGAGGTGGAGAAGAAGGAGGAGAGAGAGGTGGAGAAGAAGGGGGAGAAGACAGGGGGGGAAGAGAGGTGGATAAGAAGGAGGAGAAGAGAGGTGGATAAGAAGGAGGAGAAGGAGGGTGGCGTAGGAAGAAGGGGGGAGAGGGAGGGAAGTAGATTGAAGGACGGGTAGGGAAAGGGGGAAGAATCGAATAAAGGGGAGAGTGGGGGGGGGGGGGGGGAGTTCAGGGTGGAGACAGGAGGTCAGAAGTTAAGAGGGAGGAACAGGTTCTTCAGGTGACGCGGTGGAGGTATTGGACTATTAATGGTGGGAGAAGAGAGGTGGAGAAGAAGGAGGAGGAGAGAGGTGGAGAAGAAGGGGAGAAGACAGGGGGGGAAGAGAGGTGGATAAGAAGGAGGAGAAGAGAGGTGGAGAAGAGAGGTGGAGAAGAAGGGGAGAAGACAGGGGGGGAAGAGAGGTGGATAAGAAGGAGGAGAAGAGAGGTGGAGAAGAGAGGTGGAGAAGACAGGGGAGAAGACAGGTGGAGAAGAGAGGTGGAGAAGAAGGAGGAGAAGAGAGGTGGAGAAGAGAGGTGGAGAAGACAGGGGAGAAGAAGGAGGAGAAGAGAGGTGGAGAAGAAGGAGGAGAAGAGAGGTGGAGAAGAAGGAGGAGAAGAGAGGTGGAGAAGAAGGAGGAGAAGGGAGGTGGAGTAGAAGGAGGAGAAGAGAGGTGGAGAAGAAGGAGGAGAAGAGAGGTGGAGAAGACAGGGGGAGAAGAGAGGTGGAGAAGAAGGAGGAGAAGAGAGGTGGAGAAGAGAGGTGGAGAAGAAGGAGGAGAAGAGAGGTGGAGAAGAAGGAGGAGAAGAGAGGTGGAGAAGAAGGAGGAGAAGAGAGGTGGAGAAGAAGGAGGAGAAGAGAGGTGGAGAAGAAGGAGGAGAAGAGAGGTGGAGAAGAAGGAGGAGAAGAGAGGTGGAGAAGACAAGGGGAGAAGAGAGGTGGAGAAGAAGGAGGAGAAGAGAGGTGGAGAAGACAAGGGGAGAAGAGAGGTGGAGAAGAAGGAGGAGAAGAGAGGTGGAGAAGACAGGGGGAGAAGAGAGGTGGATAAGAAGGAGGAGAAGAGAGGTGTAGAAGACGGGCGAGAAGAAAAGTGGAAAAGAAGGGGGAGAAGGGAGGTGGAGAAGACGAAGGAGAAGAGAGATGGAGGAGGTGGGAGGGGGTGGGGGGTACTGGAAAGAGGGGAAGGGAGGACGGGGAGGGGGAGAGAGGCAGAAGTTCACTTAATGGCGGGGATAGAGCAAGGGGAAGGGGGGAGGGGGGAGGGGGGAGGGAGGGGGTGCACTCCCAACTTTCGGTTTCCTCTTGCTGTACAAAGGGAGGAGGGGGTCCACAGAGGAGGGAGGGGGGTAGGGCGGGAGGCACGGAAAGAAAGGGATGAGGAATGAGGGCAGAGAGAGAGAGAGGGAAAGAGAGAGAGAGAGAGAGAGAGAGAGAGAGAGAGAGAGAGAGAGAGAGAGAGAGAGAGAGAGAGAGAGAGAGAGACAGACAGACAGACAGATAGACAAAGAGAAATGAAAACAATATCATAAAACAGAACAAACAATAACACAAATTACAAACAAAACAAAAAAAAAACGAACCAAAAAAACATACAAAAAATCACAAACACATACGGT